ACACATGATATACTGTGATCAATCAATCGGAAACAGCTAAAAAATGCAGTGAACGAAATGAAAATGGTACTGTTCCGACAACACCAGACCAATCGATCGTCCCACAAAAAGTGGCGGATCTAGGAGAACTTTTAATCAGGGGCACAACTTCAAATTTTTAAACTAGACGGGAGCATTATCATAGGATTTGAGCTAATTACTTCAAAAAAACTCAAGATTTGAACTGAATGCTTAAACAAAATTAAAAATTAGTTGGGTCACGTGACCCTGTACGCTCTAAGCTACATCCGCCCCTGCCCACAAATCCTGTCTCCAGCTCTATGCAATGAGACCAACTCACACTGAACACTCTTGCTAACGGTTAAATCCTTTTCAATTTGATCGCACAGATGCAAAACCGCCAGCTTTGCGTCGTGTTCCCTTTTTCTATAATTGTATCATTTTTTGTAGTATCTTTCAAGTTGAAGCCAGTGGATAAAAGCGGTGCGCTTTAAGTACCATTGTTTAGTGAAAGTGAAGAAGAAAAAAAGTGTTAAGTCTTTCAAAAAAAACGAAAGTTTTAAGTCAAAACTGTCAGAGACGACGTGGATGGTAGGAGGACCGGAGGTGCTAACGCCTTGGAAGAGGCGAGCCGTCGCTTCTGTTTGAAGTCAGAGTCTCACTCAAGTATATTTTTATTTCATATACAAAATATAAACTATAAATATTAAAACATATAAATTTATTTTTCAAATATATGTTAAATAATTAGATGATTAATATTATTCACACAGATATATTGGAATTAGAAAGGATAATAATTAAATTTAATTTAATATTTTCTTAAAAATAAATATAGAAAACAATTTTTTGGTTCATAAATTACTAATTGGCGAATATGTCATATATTTTGATTGGTTTAGTATCCAACCACAATATGAATCTAATTATATAAAGGAGAGTTTGCTTCCCTCCCATAAAGCCATGTCACTAATTCACTTTCTCCCATCTTGCCACGTGTCTTCAATTTTTCGGTATGCAGCGTTTCATTAAACCATTTATTTGTGTTTTGGACTTCCATTTGGAACTTACAGCCTTTGATTCTGATTAACGGGCCTCAGAGCTTTCTGCAATCTATTCCATTTATTTCATTTCAAGGGACTGATAAGCACAATCTAATAGATTGTGTCGTTCTCATATTGTCTTCTTTTATTGATCTAGGGTTCGTACTCTTAAGCTGTGATTAAGTAAAAAAAAAAAAAACTCCAATAGACGTTGTTAGACGTTCTCCGTCTCAATTATTTGTCTGGAATCACTGTATCAGTCTCTTTTGTGATATTTTGTTCCTTGATTCATCTCATGCGTTACATTATTAAGTGTTCTTCCCTATTAATACCGTTCGTCGACGATTCCTCTTTCAATACTTCTCATCTCCTTTACAGACGTGAACTCCACCTATGAAATGGTATGTGTTCAGTGATCTTCCCATATACATCATCCTACGATATCTTTGTGATATTTGTACTTTTTGCAGTTTTTGTTGCTTTGCTCGACTGGACGAATTTTTAACTTGGTGTTTGTGGTTATAGTGTTAGAAGAAAGAACAAGCGCTCTTCGGTGGCGTGTTTTCAGGTTTGAATTTCTCGACAACTTTGGTAACCTCCTCTTGATCATATATATTCTGAGATCTCCATTCGTGTTATAGTGATTTCGGATTTATTTAATAACTTTCCATGAAATCAACATTTACACTTTATTCCAATCTCAGCCGCAGTCTCATTCTGAATTAATATACGATCGACATTCTGCATTCTCTGGTCACCTCTCTTGAACTGTGTAGCTAGATTACTAATATGATGGCTGTATGATCAATCGCTAACACTAACAGTGAATTAAAACTCTTTTTTGATTTGCAGGTTTAACACAATCAGAAAATCAAAGCTAACTAAGAGAATATATCCTCAATTTATTAAAAGTTCATATCATATGTGGTGTATTGTTTGTCATCATAATCGTGGTATGTAAACCGTATACTATTTTCATAAGTCAGACATCAAGTATTTTCTTGAATAATTAATTTTGGTACAGAATCATTTCAGGACTTAACATAGCTTAAGCAGCTCTAATTCAAGCACTGCTAAAGCAAGGACGGTGTCATCTGATTATCACTTTGTCTTCTAATTTTCCAACAATCGCCAAGATATTTTCTTATGACAATTGTACCTAATTTTCGCTTATTTCTTCCTGGTCAGATTAATACACACTCTAATGCGGAAGATATACTAAAAAATTTGGGTTCTGGTTAGCAGTCAACATATGATGCTCACCTCTGTTTCTTCAAATAAGCAAGCTTTTTCTTAAAAAGCAATTTTCAAAAGCATCCAACACAAAAATTCCATTAACCGGAAGTCTGGGACCAATGAGTTTGGCTTTACAATGAACAATGTTCATACAATGCTTTTTTCATGTTACTTGGCAAGAATCCTTGATTGGCTATCTCACAAGAGACTCTTTTCCTCAGCGATATTAGCCATTGCATCAGATGGAGCATATTAATCAGGTCTGATGATACAGCAATCATTTTAGCATGATTTTCTGCCTCTTTGTTCCCAGTCCTTTTTACCTAAACGATAGCTCACGAAATATGTGTTTAATTTAAATCTTAAGCAGGTGTTGGCTGAAGAACACCGGTCTAGAAAAAGTGAAAACTGTGAGATGGTGTCACTTGAAGGATGCAGGAATATCCACCAAGAAACGATGAACTTAAGTGGTTCTCCACATGGCATGTGATGAGAATACGTTTTGAAGTGAGGCTTACTCATATGTAGTGCCTTTTTATTGTTTTGGTCTTATACAGTATATTATCTTAAAGAAAAATCAATGAAACATTGTCAAAACAATATGTTTATGGTGTTTCCGTGTTTGCTTACTTCCAATAAATCGTATTACAAAGATAATTTTTTTTGTCATTTCTAATGGTTTATGATTCTCCAGCTTATCAACCGTGGTACTTTTAGATTTTTTTCCTCCTTTTTCTCCCTGAAGCAGTAAAATTATATCAACTAAATTTATGTAAAATTTTAAAATGTAAATTTTCAAACATCAGTGAAAGTTATGAATTCAATGGTTCTAAATTAAAATAAAGTTTAAATTGGTTGTCCACCATTTAACAATATTTAACCAAAAAACTTATAGAAGTGAGATAAAATAATATTTAGATCATGGGTACGATTGGTTAGGTTATGAATGTAGAAAAAATGTTGAACAAAAATAGTTTGTAATTTTTAGTGATTTAGTTGTAAATGTTTTTATGTAAAACTTATTATAAGATTTAAACCCACTTTTTTTTTTTGAAAAAAAACACTAAGTAAGGTTGTAGATATAAAGAAGGCAGGTCCACTAAAATACTTGGAGACTAACTAGACACAAAAGTTATAAAAGCTGTAATTAAAATGAAACCTCTATAGTTTTTTTTTGTATTTTGCTAAAAAAACATTTCTATAGTTCAAGCTAATCAAACACCATTATTAAAATTTGATAACTTTTATTCATTTTCCTCATCACCTTACATATATTTTTCAATTAAAAAAATATAAAAATTTAGATACTTAACTTTGAAAGTCATAGACATGAAACAACGAATAACTAAAAACTTAAAAATAATTATATAATTATATATCTACTGATATTATATTTTATAATAGATTATACTGTTTGTATAACAAAACAAACATACAAAATATATAATTAAATATAAAATTTAAACAATAATCCGGGCGTAGCCCGGACCGACCCTAGTAACTAATAAAGTACAGACAATCAAATACTGTCGATTTTTTTCATAAATTTTACATAAACAAAATCGAAAACAAACATCTATATACATCATATCTATGCAAATATTACATTTGTGTGATATGAAAAATTACATATGTTTATTTAACACCCATGCGGAGTGCATAGATCAAGTTCTAGTGACTACTTGAGTCTCGGTCATGCTATCACTTAAAAATCTTATCCCTTATATATTAAAAGAGAAACATTCTAATAAATGCATTCACATTATAACGGACACGTGTAAGTTTCACAATGATTTGATAATAAATATGCTGACGCGTTCACACTATATTCATAAATATTTACAACAATTCATCATCGTTATTTTTTAGAATTAATATATTTATGTATTTTTAAATGGTATATAGTTTAATTTAAATATCATTAAAAGAATAGATTTGAATTAATTTCTATAGTTTAATTTAAATATCCAATCGAAATAGTTTTACGTTTTTAAAGTTCATCTCTATTGTTATTTATGAATTAATATCTCAAAAATAAAGTGAGTTAAATTGAGTTATAAATCAATTAAAATTTGCAAACCCACAAAAATGATGTTTCATCTTTTTTTACACATCAATAATACAATCACCGTCAAGCTTCCGATCAACGACCATCACGCTTACATCTAGGAACCGTGCATTTCCGTCATGCTTCCAAACATCACAATTCTAGAAAAGTGATTTGTGACAATTTCATGCGATTCCGAATATTTCCGGTTCCGAATCCGTTTCGAAAATAAGAAATGAACCTCCATCTATGTAACATAGGATTAAACATACATAATATATTTTTATCCTAAAAAATAACGAAATTAATAATCTTATTCCGCGCAAAACGCGGGTTATTACCTAGTTTTACTTTGATTCGGTGATACTTTGATACACTAAATACTATCTCAAAATCTCTGTATTTTACTATTTTGTAATGTTTTTAAAAGAACTAAGCTCTTTATTTCGTAAATGGTCTTTGTAGGAATCAAGAAGAAGTCGCCAAGGACAACACTCTACGATTCTGAAACTTTGTGGGAATGTCGTCATCATTGACTTGAAACTCAAGTTAGACTAACACTATCAACTTGAAAGATTACAACAATACGAGGAACAAACAAGAGATCACAAGTCATTTTCTTCAGTAACCACTCATGAGTTTTACAAACACATCATAATATACTATATGATGAATCAATCGGAAACAGCTAAACAATGCAGAAAACGAAACGAAAAGGGTAATGTACCCACAACACCAAACCAATCGATCGTCCCACAAATCCTGTCTCCAGCTCTATGCAGTGAGACTATCGCACACTGAACAACCTCGCTAACGGTGAAATCCTCTTCAGTTTTAAAACACTGATAGAAAACCGCTAGCTTTCCGTCGTGTTCCGCCATCTCCTTTACAGAAAAGGTTGAGAGTTTCTTCAGTCTCTTCCCATTACGACCCACCAGTCTTCTCCACACGTTACGCTTCGTATCAAACCACATCAACCCAGTCCAGTTAAAGAAAGCAAAGAGAACATCATCCACCACACACACGCAATAAACCGTATCATTTAACTTATACTTTCGTCCACCTTCCGAGAGTCTCTTGGTTACCATCTTAACCATCCTTTCTCCTTCACCTTCTCTCGGATTGTACACATGGATCTCGTCTTTCTCCACAATGTAAACCTTCCCCTCCACCGAGGCACCACACCGATAGGATTTACCGGCGTTCTCAAGCCCCGCAAGCTCCCAAGTTTCCGACTTTACATCAAAAACTTCAACTTGGAGAAACCCTTCACCTCCGATAACGTATATCTTCCCGTCGATTACTCCCACAGCTGCATCGAATTGTTCTCGAGGCACGCTCATGCTTGGCCCCTGAGTCATGGTTTCAGATCGTGTATCAAGGATCCATAGATCCCTGGAAGGTTCTCCTCTAGGTCCACCAATGAAGTAGACCTTCGACCCCACTGCGACGGTTAAAGACCCGTACTTGTGAGAAGGGAAGGGGGTTGGGTTCGGAACTAACCTATACTCCTTCGTCGTCGTTGATGTTTTTGTTTCCTCGTTGAGAGTAAACCAGTGGAAGGTGGAGTCGCTGTCGTTGTATTTTTCATGGAAACATACATAGAGAGACTTCTTGGATCGCAACTTGTTGAGCTGCGGCGAGCGAAGAAGGGCTCTTAGCTTTCTTGAGACCCAAGAGAGGCTTAGGTGATAGCTTCTTGGGACCAAGGCCAAGCATGTCAGAAGGATGTCATCAGGTAATGAAGAAAGCGACGGTGGTGGTGGAGGATGATGTTTTTCCGGTGGCTCGATGGTGTTGGAATTAGACATTCTTTTTCTTGCGCTCTTTCTTGCGGACGTTTCAACAGGGAGCGATTGAAATCTCGGTTTAGTTAAGAACTTAAAAGATGCTGAAATCGAACAACACACCTAAAGCGGCAAGATGTTTATGATAAACAGCAAGTTTTTTTCTTTTTACCCGAAAATGTTACAACGTGCCTACGAAAAGTGTGATAAGAAACGGCATGTTGAACGAGAAAACAACAAGATGTTCATTAGTTACAATCGCTACAGCAAACTCGGCCTTATTGAATTAGGAGTTTGAAAAAGATTTTGGTTTGTGTAGTTTCTGAATTTAGATTTTGGTTTTTAGTTTTTAGTTTTTGGTTTTTAGTTTTTAGTTTTTGGTTTTTGGATTTTAGATTTTGATTTTTGATTTTTGATTTTGCAGTAGATTTTAGTTTATAGAAAAACATGAATGGTGAGTTTAGATTTTGGTTTTTATTTTAAAATAATAAGTGAAAATGTTATTAATAGTAAACTATTTATTCTAGAAATAATAAAATATAAAATGTTATTATCATGGAATACACATAAAATTTGTACATAATAAAAACAGAAAATTAAAAAAATTCTATGTTTAACTTTAAACATGCACTTAAATAACTAATAACATAAAATATTATTATAAGTAAAAATAATTATTAAAGGAAAAAATTTGACTATCGCTTCATTATTAGATAAAACATTATTTAACTGTAATAGTTTTAGTAAAATTAAGCTGTATTATAAATATATTTTTTTAATTTGACTGTAGTTAATTTTATTAAAAATATTAAAATTATAATTAACAAGTTCCTTAAAATCCTACAAAAATAAAAAAATATTTTTACTAATACCGGTTATTTTATAGTTTAGAATTTAAATTTAAATGATTGACAAAAAATTTTTGATTCTTAATAATTTGGAATAGTTACTATTTTATTACCAATCTCTTTTCATTTATTTATTTATGCTATATCAATGCATAAATATATAAATATTAATATTTAATAAAAGATAAAAATTAAAAAAAATTAAAAAGTCACGTACACTGCCTAGTAAATCAGAAAAATGTGGTTTTGTTTTGTTAAGCGATAGGTAGTTGTTTTCAAAGTATGGTTTCCCTAAGTTTTAGGGAATCTACTTTACAAAAATGGGCAATTTAGCTAAAAAACAATGAAAGATTATGAAATTAGCAGATTACGAAATTAGCAGATTTCCAGAGTGACGAAAGCGATTGTGTACGTGGCACATGAAGAGGTGATAGAAAGACTAAAACACCCTATCCGTTGGACGTCTCGCCTTCCCGGTTTTGAACTTCTGGGTAGTTGTGTCTGACACAAGATCATCACTAGATTTGGCAAGATAAAAATGAGATTCCGTTTACATTAGCTTTTTTTTTTCTTTTTCTTTTTTGTAACACATATTAGCTTAAGTTACATCGGTAAAATAAATTTACTTTCCATGCCTCACAAAATCTCTGAACCAAATCTTTGAAAAGATTACGCTCAGATTTTTTTAGGTTTTAGAGTAATTAAAAAATTACAAGTGGTCTTAAACCAGATCCAATATTACCAACAGATAAATATAGGTTAGTCACAGTCACTTGGCCGACTACGATTGCAAATTACGTGGATAGCCACTACATTAGCCGGATAAGATTATACTTAACGTCTTAATATAAACTTTTACTCATCTAACAAATGGTCGACTATAAACCTAACGAGTAAACCCTAACCCAATAATCTCAACCCTAAACCCATAACCCAAAACCCTACACTCTAAATCTTAAACCCTAAATCCTAAACCATAAATAGTAAACCCTAAATCCGAAGCTAAACCTTAAAATTCAATTTCCTAAACCCAAACCCTTGCATATCTCTTAACCCTAAACTCTTAACACAAATCCCTTACATAACAAGTGGTCCTAAACCCTTAGTACTGATCAAGTATCCCCGGCAAATAAATATAGGTTGGCTTCAGTCACTTGGCCGGCTACGATTGCAAATTTTGTGGATAAACACTAGATTAGCCAAATACAGTTATAATAAACGTCTTCCATAAACTTTTACTCATCTAACAAATGGTTGACTATAAACCTAACGAATAAACCCTAACCCAATAAACCCTAAACCCTACACTCTAAACCCTAAAACCCTAAACCCTAAACCCTAAGCTAAACACTAAACTTCAATTTCGTAAACCCAAACCCTTGCATATCTCTTAACCCTAATCCCTTTAACACAAATCCCTTACATTACAAATGGTCCTAAACCATTAGTACTGATCCAATATCCCCAACAAATAAAAATATGTTAGCTTCAGTCACTTGGCCGGCTACGATTGCAAATTACGTGGATAAACACTAGATTAACTGGGTACGATTATAAATAACGTCTTATATCAATTGTTACTAATCTAACAAATGGTTGACTATAAACCAAACTAATAAACCCTAACCCAAACCTATAAACCTTAAACCCTTAACCCTAACCCTTAACCTTAAATACTAAACCCTAAACAGTAAGCTAATCCCTAAACTTCAATTTCTTAAACCCAAACCCTTGCATATCTCTTAAACCTAAACCCTTAACACAAATCTCTTACATTACAAGTGGTCCTACACCATTAGTATTGATCCAGTATCCCCGAAAAATAAATATAGGTTGACTTCAGTCACTTGGTCGGCTACGATTGGAAATTTCATGGATAAACACTAGATTAGCCGGATATGATTATAATTAACGATTATTGTCATAGCTTATCTACGCCGAAACATCTGACACAAAGATTTGGAATCCAAACACAAAACGTCTAATCCAAATCTTTTGTGTCGACCATTTGTTAGATGAGTAAAAGTTTATAGAAGACGTTAATTATAATTATATCCGACTAATCTAGTGTTTATCCACGAAATTTGCAATCATAGTCGGTCAAGTAACTGAAGCCAACCTATATTTTGTGTCAAACACAAAAACGTCTGACAGAAAAGATTTGGATGATCAAAGATTTGGATATCTACGTCGAAACGTCTGACACAAAAGATATGGTGTATCTACCGTATCTACAACTCCTAGCGCATGGAAGAGTGGGTTCTACCCGTTGGTTAAGGTGTGAGAGGTTATGACGAAAAGGTATGAGGGTAAAACAACTCGCTAAACAGTAACGGTTTTTTCGTATTTGGTATACCGCAAATTACACATAAGTTTTTTGGTAGGAGAGCAAATTCCTCTACAAAAATCTTGATTGGTATAAAAATAGTTTTTATAAAGTAGTTTTTAGAAACTACAAACAATCATCATGTACACTTAATGTCTACTAACCTAAAGGAACATGAAGAAGAAGATGATGACTTGGTAATCCTAGGTGAAATGAATGTCTCAGTTCAATCAGATCAGCCTGGTCGGACCAACAAGCTAACCAAAACCAATATTAATATAAAGATGCGATAAATTAGTAGAAAGCTAACAAAAAGTTCCAAAAAGCTTGTAGGAACTCACCAGAAACTCATGTGGAATTCGTCGAAAACTCATCTTAAGCCTGACAAAATCTAGTTTGGAACCTGGTTAACCCAAAACTCACCTGAAAACTTACAAAAATCGCTTTAACTTCAATGTTGGCTGGTCGTCGGACTCCTAACAAATTACAACTTTGTCTTATTCAGAAAGAGATTTGTTTATGTAAATAATAGATAAAAATGTATTATAGACTTTACTGATATGGAATGTTTGTAAAAGAAATTTTTAGAGTTTTCATTTTTAAGTTCAAATAGGCCAATGGAAGAGAAAAAATGGACTCTTTTTTTTTTGGAACACCAGAAAAAAGGACTCATCTGTACTATTATTTGCGAAGTGATTTTTTTGCAACGGAGTTCTCACGTTAAAAGTTAGACTAGTTAATATTGTTTATACCTTTAATGAATAATTAAAATCAATATATAATTAAACATAAGTAAAAAAAAATTCAATGATTTTAGATTTATCTTTATCTAAAACTATTTTATATTGGGTTATAAAGTCTATATTAACCTTGAAAATAATTATATATGTTAATATATAATTAATTATAAATTAAAAACGAATTTAATTTGTTTGACAATTATCATTATTTTTAAAAAAACTTATATTATGTTGTAAAGTCTTTATCAACCTTGAAAAATAATTATATTTTTAATATATAATTAATTATAAATTAAAAACGAATTTCATGAATTTGATAATTATCCTATCTAAATTTTTATATTGTGTTATAAAGTCTTTATTAACCTTGAAAAATAATTATATTTGTTAATATATATTTAATTATGAAAAAATCAATTCGTAAAGAATTTATGTATAGATAATTTATATTGTGTTATCCAAAACATTACTAAAGATAATTTTATTATACTTTTTTGTTATGTCTAAAAATGATATTAATTTATTACTAAATATTATAAATTTATGAGTATTTTCACATTTAATTTGTGTAGTGACAATTATTTATATGATGATGAAAAAATTTATATATAGAAAGAATTTGTGTAAATTATTATTAAATATTTTGATTGTATGAACAATAATTTATTATAATTTAGTTAAATTGATTATATATTTGTTTATAAAATTAGTAAAATTATTAAACCCGCGCCGGCAAAACATCTAGTTTATTGGGTTAGAGATGTTAAAATCTGACAAAAATTATCATTGTAGCTCCCTGCTTAATCCATGCTACTATGTTCCCATGCTACTATGTTCGCTTCTTCTCTTCCTAAAAGATATTGGCTTCATTTTGATTACATTTTAAATCTATAGGGGTCTAATCTCAAAAGCCTGTATTTTGTAATATTGTTAAAAGAACTAGATCTTTATTTGGTAAATGGTCTTCGTAGGAAACAACAAGAAGCCGCCAAGGACAACACTACTATCTGATTCTGATCCCTTCATCATTCCTCAAAACAATCCAAAGTCGAGACTATTGTAACTTTGTAGGAATGTTGTCATCATTGAATTGAAACACAGGTTAGATTAATATCACTATCGTCTCCACTTGTGTAGTTCAATGACTTGAAACTCAAGTTAGACTAATATATATCACCATCTTCCTCCATGTGTGTAGTTATCAATCATGTGAAACTCAATTTAGACTAATATCAACTTAAATAACAGAAGATGACAACAATCCGAGGTACAAACAAGACCAAATTTTCATTACAAACACATGCTTTCAAGAACACATCATAATATACTATGATCAATCAATCGGAAACAGCTACAAAATGCAAAAGATGAAACAAATATGGGACAGTACCCACAAAACCAGACCAATCGCTCGTCCCACAAATCCTGCCTCCAGCTCTTTGCAATGAGATAAACTCACACAGAACACTCGTGACACGCACATGCAAAACCGCTAGCTTTCCGTTGTGTTCGGCCATCGCCTTCACAGAAAAGTAAGAGTTTAATAACAGTTTCTTCCCATCAGGACCGACCAATCTCCTCCACGCATTTCGCTTTGTGTCAAACCAAATAATCCCCTCCGACATCCGGTTAAAGAAAGCAAAGAGAACATCCTCCACCACACACACGCCACCAACCCTATCATCTAACATATCCTTTCTTCCACCTTTGGCGAGTGTCTTGCTTACCATATGAACCATCCGTTCTCTTTCACTTTCTCGCGGATTGTACACATCTATCTCGTTGTTCTCCACCATATAAACCTTCCCCTCCACCGAGGCACTACACCGTAAGGCTTTACGCCCGTACTCCACCCCCGCAAACTCCCAAGTTTTCGACATTGGATCAAAAACTTCAACTTGGATCTCATCATGAAACCCTCCGCCTCCGATCACGTATATCTTCCCATCGATCACTCCCGCAGCTGCATCGCGCCCTACTCCAGGCACGCTCATGCTCGGTCCTTGAGTCATGGTTCCAGATCGTGTATCAAGGATCCATAGATCCGTGGAAGGTTCGGTGTGTCCGCCGATGAAGAAGATCTTTGAGCCCACTACGACGGTTGAAGAACCGTAACTAGGATGAGAAGGGAAGGGAGTTGGGTTCAGAATTACTAAGCGATTCTTATTTGTTGTTGTTTCGTTGAGTGTAAGCCAGTGGATGGATGAGTTGTAGGTTTCTCGGAGACATAGATAGATGAGTTGTAGGGACGGATAGTATTCCTTTGAGCTCAGGGAGCGAGAGAACAAGGGCTCTTATGTCTTTTGAAACCCAACAGAGATTTAGGTGATCGAGTCTTGGGACGCGGGCCAAGCAACTCAAAACCATTTCTTCAGGTAATGAAAAGAGCGACGGTGGCGGAGAAGGATGGTTAGTGTGTTTGGAGTTAGAGCATCTCCAATGTATTACTCCATTTTCTACTCTAAAATGGAGTAACTCCAAAATGCAGTTGAGTTTTACTCCAATGTATTACTCCATTTTCTACCCCAAAAGAATATTTTTAATATTATATTTATTTCAAAATTAGGAATATCACCTTTCATTTATACTATTTGCAAAACAGTCCATTTTAAATTTATAGCATTTTTGTTAAATACAATATTCACCACAATTAAATTTTTATTATATAAATAAAACTACTCAACAAGGTTTTAAAAGAATATATTTAATACATTAAAAATTACATTATATAGCTTAAACACAATAATACATCAATTCTAAATTATTCATTAGAATTATAATAATTTTCCCACAAATGATCAACTAATGCATTTCGAAATAAAAAATGAGCTTCTTTATCTTTGATTTCTCTGAAATGGGAAAGAAACTTTTGGAACCTCTCATTATTATTTTCTTCAATTTCAATTTTCCTTGACATGACTTTTCTTTCAACTTCAATTGGCACCTCGAGATCACAATCATCTTCTATTATCATGTTATGTAAGAATTTAATAATATTTTATCGGATTATTTAATTTTAATGGATCCGAAAATGATTTATCGGATTATTAAGCAATTATATTTGTTGTAAGTTTTATTTTATGTTATTTCTTTTGTATGGTGCTTATCTTTCATTTTCTATATGTATGATCTTTTATGTTTTATATTATATATATTATGTTGTATAAAAGAGTTCATCAGATGGTTATTTATATAANTTTATCGGATTATTTAATTTTAATGGATCCGAAAATGATTTATCGGATTATTAAGCAATTATATTTGTTGTAAGTTTTATTTTATGTTATTTCTTTTGTATGGTGCTTATCTTTCATTTTCTATATGTATGATCTTTTATGTTTTATATTATATATATTATGTTGTATAAAAGAGTTCATCAGATGGTTATTTATATAATTAAAAATATTAACAGTAAATTTTGAAATATATATAGTAAAATAATATTAATATACTTATTTATAATAATATTTTTATTAAAGACAAGGCTATTTATATAATTAAGAAATATTAACAGTAAATTTTCTAATATATAGTAAAATAATATTAATTTACTTATCTATAATAATATTTTATTAAAAATGAGGCTATTTATATAAATAAGAAATATAACAGTAAATTTTATAAGATATGTAGTACTTATTTATAATAATATTTTATTAAAAATGAAACATATATAAATGTGGAGGACTATTTGATAAATAAAAAAGTTCAACTCCATTTTGGAGTAATGAGTTGGTTTACTCCATATTTGGAGTAATCATGTTTGTTACTCCATTTTGGAGTGAGTTTTGGAGTAGGGTTGGAGAAGATTTTACTACAAAATAGAGTTTGGAGTGGGTTTTGGAGTGGGGTTGGAGATGCTCTAATAGACATTATTGTTTTCAAGGTTCAAAAGAAGAGACTGAATCCGGTTAGGGTAAAATGAAAGCAAACAAGCCCTAAACCGGCAAGATGTTTGAGGAAAAACAGCAAGATGTTCACTTGTTTCCAAATCCGGTTAGGGTAAAATGAAAAAAAAACTACGAAGCTGAGAAAAGAAAACGGCATATTGTGTAATAAAACAACAAGACGTTCTTTTCTTCTTTTTTTTTTTTTTTTTAACAAGACAAATATATTAAGTCGTAGTAACAGTTTGTCTCGGCTAAAAATATAATTTTAAAACTTGTATTTCACAAATATCTTAAAGAATCAGCGTTAATCAATAAAAATCTGTAGAAATTGAACAGGTTTCGGTTTTAATAAAATTATAATATAATAGATTGTTAATGAGAGAATTCAGTACCAATTACATGATGCATTGGGCAAAAAGGAAAGATCATTACCAATAAGATTATGCTTTTGCCCCATGTGTGTAGTCATCAATTATGTGAAGATCAATATATATTTGTATCAACTTGAATAATGGAGGATGATGTGTGATATAATTACGATGGAAAAGTCATCTTTTTTTAAGGGGTCAAATTTCTATAGCATTTTAATTTGAATGATTCCACAAAGTGAGTTGGTCGTCCTCTCGGTTGTAATATTCTTTTAGTTAATAATCTATAAGATCTAAGATTAGTACATATGAGAGAACATGTCTTTTGTCTCCTAAACCTCCTTTATTATCATCAATATATCCTATTTTTATACCATTTCACAGCGAAGACAAGCAGAGATTTCGATATAAAGAAGGGGAGACACCTCAGACAAGAGGATACCAGAGAAGAAGATGTATCAAGATCAACAACACCCCGTTGGTGCTCCTCCTCCTCAAGGCAATTCCCCTTGTTACAATTCTCTTCTTGTCTTTTTATTATTTTTTGCTTCTTGAATTCTAATGTTGTAGTTGTTATGCATATAGGGTATCCTCCAAAGGAAGGTTATCCACCAACGGGATATCCTCCTGTAGGTTATCCTCCACCACCTCAGGGTTACGGTCAGGCATATCCAGCACAAGGGTATCCTCCGCCGCAATATCCTCAAGGTCCTCCTCCGCAGTATCCTTATCAGGGTCCCCCACCACCACAATATAGTCAGGCTCCACAAAAGAAGAAGAAAGAATCAGGATTTGTCGAAGGATGGTGCGTTGACCCACTCTCTATCTCTCTTTTTGGTTTATAAAATATGGTTTTTAATGGTCATAACTCATAAACGTGGACCGTTGTCATGAAGAATCAGGACCGTTAGTAAAACGGACTGATTCGCTCGTCCAGTGCAACCATCTAAAGTACATATGTTTGCAAGTGAATGTCACTTATATGTATACGTTTGTGTGTTTGTGTTATAGTTTGGCTATGCTCTGCTGTTGCTTTTTGTTGGAAGCTTGCTTCTGATTGAAGAATGAGATGATATTCGCCCGTTGACCGTCTTCAGGATGCCATCGTATTTTATGAGACAAGAATTATAGTTGTTAAAAAAGACGTTTGATCAAACATTTGGACATCTTCTTCTCGTTACGCGTGTGTGTATGTGCGTTCACGTTTTGTGTTTGTTCTTGTTCTTATTTTTATTTATTTAATTGGATTTTCTTACTTCAGTTCTTGTTTTTATTTTTATTTTTAAATCACCAAAATGTTACGGACCGAAATGCATAATTTCTCAAATCCAAAATCAAAATATGTAATAGTAATAATTTTGTTTAAATGTCATTTAATCTTATGATTTTTAATTATCATTTAGTCTTATGATTTAAGTTTTGTCTTGGTATTTTCTCACAACATTTAATATTTGTGACGTTTTTTTAATAAAAAGAATGAAAAATTTACTCAAATAAAAAAAACGCATTTTTATAATGAATGTGACTTTGTTGTCAAGTTTTGATGTATATTTTATTTTATATCTCTAGCTTCTTGATGCAAACCAAGCAGCCGTTGTGTACCTTCATATTTGCAATTCCTCCTTCTCCTAAACGTTTGAGATTTGGTTCCTTAGAGCACGTTTATCGGGTAAAAAAAAGAGGTGCTTAGGGAGAAAAAAGGGGAGGGGGGCCCATTAAAAAAGAAAAGCCGACGCTTTTGATGCCTCAGTAAGCGTCGAATTCCTTTTGGTGCTTGAGCTTTTTCGCGGGCCCCACGACACGTGGCGGCCCGCGATTGGTTGTATTTTAATTTTTTTTTTTTTTTTTTTTTTAGTCAGAAAAAAAAAAAACAAAAAAGCAAAAAAAATTTTTAAGCACCCTCTTTTTAAGCTTTGGCGATAAACGTGCTCTTACATTCTTGTCAATGTACTGAGCTATCTGTGTAGAGCTTTTGTGTTTCTCATTGAGCCTCCTACCATTTCCTTTCCTGCCATATCGTGGGAATCGATAACTGGAAAAAACAAGGTTAATGTTCATCTTTTGTATATGTAAATTAAGTGAACTCAACCACGCGTCTGTGGTCGGGTGGTCAAGGTGTTCTGTGGATCTCTAAAAGGATTCGGATTCGAATTTACACTTTACCAGATTTTTCACAATGCGTTGCCACCGGGGTTTTCACATTCTCTCTCCAAAAAATAATTTACCATTATTTTATTTTATTTTTTAAATTAAGTAAACTCACTTTTGTATAACTGCATTCATTTTCAATAAAGGAAAAACAAAACAAGCATCTCGTTTTCTTGTCTCCTGGCTCTCACCGAATGTGAGAAAGAGTTACTGAAGAACAATTACACTTTTGACATTCAAGTTACTCATATGGAAAGTCACGAGAAAATACAATAATTACAGAGTAAGCAAACTTCTACATCACCTTAATAAACTTCGTTCTTCCATAAAGCATAATTCACGTTAGGATTCTCTTTAACCAATCATCTCAGAATTTAAAAGAAGAACATCTTCTGTATTAATAGATTTAATTCATATGTCAAACAAGCAAGATTATCACTAGATCATGATAATCAATCTAATAAAGAAGATCCGCCATGCATAACAAAGATGTTCTTTATATATTTGTGGATGTAAAAGGGTTTGAAATTACAATGAACTTTAGTTGTGCTTTTGCAAGATCATATCCAACTTTATTATTAGTATGATATATATTTGTGGATGTAAACTCCATCAACCCCATAGATTTTTTTTGGGTTTTTCTTACAAAAGACCTAAAACAACTCATATCTAACATACTAATTTGAGTTTGACTTTCTTTATATACTATATATTGTTTGTCTAAATTTCTAGTATAAGACTTTGATTGATATCTTAATAATTTTTCTAACTACCCAAAAATAAATACCAGAGACGGCCCTTGGACCAAGCCAATGAAGCCCATGCTTGTGGTTGATTTATTTGTGTACATATTTTGGCCACAAAATTTGTTGGATAATTCCAAACTTATGGAAATTTAACATATTATTAGATGTTTAAGCTTAAGTTGAAACTTTGATCATGGTACTTGTGAACAAGAGATCACGTGAGCAAGATGGCGGACGTGACTAGGGCTACACCGCACTTTAAGGATTTTGGATCTACATCCATCCAATGTCCAATGTTAACGTCGACAAACTACACAGTTTGGTCGATGAGAATGCATGTTAAGATGCATGTTCATGGCATGATAGAATCTGGTTTGGATGATCAAAAGAAGAACACCATCAAGTCACAACACCTTATAGTTGTTCGTGTAAGGAAGGCGAGACTTCAGACATTAGTCAAAGTAATGTCGAGTGTAACACACGAAGAAAGCGTGTGTGACGCATGTGTCGCAGAGAAGGAAAACATACACTCATTCCCGAGTGTAACACACGGAGAAGGCGTGTGTAACGCATGTCTAAGAGAGAAGAAAATTAGACATGAATTCCCAGCTATACTATTGAAGAAGAAACAAGAGGTATTCAATCAGTTCAAAAAGTTGAAGGATCCCATTAAAACCTTTCTCACCGATAGTGGGGGGGGGAGTTTACCTCAACTAGGTTCAATATCCTTTGTAAAGAAAGTGGATTTGAAGCTCTTGTGGCCGAGTTAGAGTCTATCACAAGAAAAAAAACATTGAAGCTTGTAGATAGACACGCTGGTGCTAAACCTACATGGTTAAAGTGGATATACAAGATTCAAGGAGCAGATGAAATTAGGATAAAGGAGGAGAGTCTTACTCAAGGAATCTGGTGTGACACAGATATTGAAGTGTGTAACACGAATCAAGTTCCAATGGACTCGAGTTTCAACTTGTCAAAAGCTGGAGACGAACCAGAGATAGATGCTCAAGGAATCATGTGTGACACACAGATGGAAGCGTATAACACAACACATGTACCAATGGAACATGTGGTCAGACCGCGGTGTTAAATATACAGAGGTATGTAACACAAAGATGGAAACGTATAACACTACTCATGCAGGGGTATGCGATACACAGATGGAAGCGATTAGCAAAACACATGTACCAAAGGAGCATGTGTCGGTGTTGAGCAGAAGGCCAACATCCTTACCAGAGCTCATGTACTCAAGATGGCGGACATGACCAGAGTTCTTGTAGCAGTGAGATTTATCCGCAACACTCATCGCAACTTAAGTGAAGAGGTCAGGATAAGGTTCTACAAGAATTAGGCCTAAAAGAGGCGGTACAAAAGCAAGGAAGGTACGAGGAGCTTAATTGGAGTTCAAGAAATTGATCTCCCTAATTCAAGTTGAAATTAAGGGGGTGAATGTTGGATAATTCCAAACTTGTGAAAACTTAACATATTATTAGATGATTAATATGTTAAGAGATAAAGACAATAAGAAAATCTAGAAACAGGAAAAATAAGTTTTCTATTGATTAGTTTGTGTTTCCATATCTCACATGTTAAATGAAATTGTCTTACATATAAATAGAGATATATGGAGAGGTGTTCTATAAGATCTAAGATAGTAGATCATAAGAGATCTAAGAAAAACATTAAGTGTTTTAGTTTTGAGTAGTTTCTAAAACTAATAAGAAATGTCATTCTTATAATTCTTTGGTTCTAGAGATTCGAATTGGTATCATATCTTGAATTGAAGCTTTGATCTAAACTTGAATTGATATCAGAGATTAAGTTGAAGCTTAGATCCAAGATTTAAAAAATTTCAAAAACTGTCTAAATCTAGTGGTATAAGATAAAAATTATGGTCTTGGTAATTAATAGTTTGAGTTCAAATATCTCTGATACATATTTTCTCACCTTCTCTTTTGAAAAATGGTTACATTTTTATTTTGCTTCCAATTCTCTAAAATCTAGGACCGCCTCTGCCAAGTACCACATAAATTATTACTCTCCAACTTCCAATGAAACATGGTATACATCTTGTATCGTCATACTCACAAGCCTCGCAACACCATTAAAAATTCTCTACTAATCATTTGCAGCATCAGTAGATAAATATTCTGGACATAAGTCTTTGACAATTTTGAGGGTGCTCCTCTCACAACCGAACTTCTATATTTTTATTGTTTTGAATAGCCTATTCCTCCCTCGTACTCTTCTTTCCTGTCGATGCAAAGTTCCTTGAATTTTAAGGATATTTTAATTTTTTTTTTTTTTAGATTTTTATCATTCCAGATTTGATATTAGTTGTTGTGCTTTTCCAAGCACATGTTCAACAAATTTATTAATATGATACTATCCACTTTGGACATAAAGTGCAAAACCCATTTGAATTTTTTTTGGTTTCTTCATCAGTTTTTTATACTAATCAAAATTAGACATTATTTACAAAAATTTCTCATATATGATTTTGATTGATATCTCAACAACTAGTATTACTAAGGTCTTTAACTCACATTAGTTACATCAAAATGATTCGTAAAGGTTTAAGATCATAACGGTGTAATTACACATAAAGTTATATCTATTGCAGGAAATAAATTCGTCAATCAATCAACATTTAACAAATATTAAAGGTAATATTACAGTTATTAAATGTTGTCTAAACAATTAAACAACAGACGATTTTTTCTTTTTGCAACTTAAATAATTACTAAATAATTATCAAAGAATTCTTCAAATTTATTAGAACTTTTTAACCACCAATCATTAAACTTAAATTAAATAAATTGTTTTATAAAAATTCAGAAAATAAGAAACTTATATAATAATCATATCATAATTAGATCCAATATCATAACTATAAATTAAAAAAAGTTACACGACAAAAAGACATAAACACACATAAAAACTCTGAAGTTTTCGCAAATTTTGAAAATTACTGCTCCGTTTCAAAGTATATGTCATTCTAGGCTTATTTTTTTGTCACAAATTAAGTGTCGTTTTAAAGTTCCGAGGCAAAATTTATTAGTTTTATATAATATATTTTATTTTTCTATTGGTTGAAAAGTGGTTAGGTGTATAGATAATTGTGTTTTTATTTTGGAGATATGTAAAATTAAATATTTCCTTA